TGGGGGAGGGGGGGGGGTTATATTGCCTGATCAATGGAGAAACAAGGGAGTTGATCATGGCTCAGGAAGAAGTAATGGAACAGGACATGGTGATGCACGATCTGGGAGAGGTGCTAGAAGAGGAGAAGGGATGGATTAGGAAAGGTTTAGGAATGATAGAGGGTGTCCTACCTACGACCCTGAGTGGAGATGGCGATTTAATGCAGCCTTTGATCGAGTGAACGCGTCATAGAACAACTTGTCAGAGCAATTAGAGAAACAAACCACTATGAATATGGCACAAATTGTTCCTTCGGTAAGGCAGAGCTTATCATATAACTCAAGTTCAGTCGGCGCAGGAGGGCAGAGATGATGGGTGCTCTAGTTCCAGTGGATGGCTCCTTGCAAGTGGCAAACATTGTTGATTTGTTTAACGACAACACCTCCTTGGATCCTAATGCTACACGGCAGGAAAATGCGAATAAAAAGAAACAAAAAGGGGATGATGGTGTAGGTGCGGATAGTACGATTGCGCATCATGAATTGCCAAGAGTTGATGTTCTAGAGGACATCATAACTAATGGCATAAATGGAGCGTGTAGCTGTGCTCCGAGATGAAGTTGGCATTTTGAGGACACAATAACGCAATCAAATGCAGTACTCACTAAAACCCATCAATACATGGAGGAATTCAGAGAGAAGCAAGCCGAGACTGACAAGTTTGATAAGCAGCTACTGGGCAAACCCTAGGGTAATCCCACTTCCTAAATCCTAGGTGGAATGGTTAATTCCACTAGTGAATTTGTCGTGACCTTTGGTTTGTGTGTGCATGAACTCCCAGTTGTATATCCAAAGCATGACAGTGTTTAATGTTCTTGAAACAGATAGAAACCATTCATTTTTGAGATTATGTAGTAATTGATTTGACTTACCAAGACAATTCATTTCATTAGACGGGACTCCTTTATTATAGTAGAGATATAGGCAGAACGGGCCAAACTTAGCATTAGGTCATATGGGCCGAAAGCTATTGTGGGCCAAACATGTCGAACAAATCTCTGGGCCAAAAGAGCTGAGCACTCTCTAGGGTAAATGGGTCAACCGTAACAGTGGTACAAACGTGTCAATTATAGCACTAGGCCAAAATATATGGCGGGCCAAATGGATCGAAACTAATACGAGCCACTGGGCCGAAACCAACATGGGCCTAATTCGGCGAAAATAGTACGACTTGATGGGTGAAAAGTTTTGTAAGCGTTTATTGGGTCGTCCCAAAGGAAACAGTCTGTGGGTCGACATCTGTTTGGACTTTGGGCAAAAATCTATGCGTCATGGGCCTACATAAATATAGGAAGTGGACCTAACTTTAGATGGGCGCTGGGCCTAAATCTATATGGCCATGGGCTGAAATCCATAAGGGCCAATGGCCGAAATCTATATGACTCGTGGGTCGAAGGAGGTACAATTGTATTGGGCGATGGTCTGTCAGTGCACATGGTTTAGTTCTAGATTTTCCGAAGTAAGAGTATTGATCCCATAGGGAGCACATGAATTGGACATTCGTCCCTTGTAGTGACTTACGGAATTGTGACTGCAAGTAATTATAGACTTGGAGCAAAGTGAGGGTGGATATAAATAATAGTTTGAGTAGAGTGTGAATGAAAATTAAATAACATAAACATAAATAAATGAGAGCAGTGGAATGGGTAACACTTGGAACTAGCGGAGGAGTAAGGCATTCTGAGGGAGTGTGGAATATCCATTGGTATGTGTCTATCATGACTTATGCTAGGTCATAGTACTAACTGGATACTTGAGCCACTCTTGATGTTTGAGCTAGGCGGATCCGGGTACATAATACGTTCTACTCTAGCCAGACTTCGTACCGCACACGCCACCATTGTATTCCCCCTGCAGGTTACAACTATGGTAATTAAGGGTTTCCTCATGGACGCGACCTCACCAAGGGTTCTCCGTTACTCCCCTATTAATTCCAAAAGCGAGAAGTGAAGGATTTTACTGTCACCTTGAATTACCATCACTTCCTAACCTTTACGCGGCAGCAATATGCTTCATGGCCTTACGATGGAAATGCTGACTAGGCCCCCTTCACAATATTCACAAAGGCTATTAAACTAAACATTCAACAGAGAATCTTATATCCTTATTAACGTCTTGAGCATCTAAACATACTGAGGTTCATCCAAATCTCTGAGAACTAGGGGTTTTACTCGTACATAGGAACGATGAACATCAAGTGAATAGCGATGGTAAACATGGATGGATCAAATAAGTAATAGACATAGCAATCCACAAAGGGTTTGGTATTAGAATGAGATGAATACGGGGGATGATGATGACAGATGATGGAGATGGTTGACACTGTTGTCCCCTTGCACGCGATGGTGAAGATTGCGATCTCCTTGCCAATTCCCTCTCCGGATGCCTTCCGGAGGCTAGGATTCTGTGTAATGGATGAGTTTCTGGTGTGCGTATGCGTTTGATCCCCTATCCAATTCCACGGGGGTGGTAGTAGTTGATGAAGAGGAGGCAGAGGTGGATGGTATGAGCGCATGCGCTCGTACTAGACGCCGTCGTGCGCCGCGCCTGCGCAACCTCCAACTTTCTCCAAATTGCCTAATTCTTTTATGGTACTTATTAATCACATCAATTTACGTGATTTTATAATCATTCCCTAGAGTTCTTTTCTGAGTACTCCAGTTACTTCCAAAAACACATGCCGGGGGAAATCGACAAAAGAAGTGCGTTGCAGTAAAATTCCGCAAAGCCTACCGTGTAGGCACAAAATAAAGATAAAAACT